CTAGCCAGGAGACCAGCCATCCTCCAAGCTAAACATCATTAGTTCCTTCACCCGCCTGGCATCAGCCTGATGTCATGGGCTGGTGGCCCTTCACCCTCCTGTTTGCCCTTCAAATGCACACCAGCTTACTGCTGTCCTTCCATTTGGAGAAACACATGTTAGGAAGGACAGAGATAAACTGGGAGGGTGCTCAGAGAAGGGCAACCAGAAGGGTTGGCCAGGAGCCCATGCCCTATGAGGCTCAGCTGCAGGAAATGAGACCATCTAGACTGGAGAGGAGAAGGCCCAGGGGAGATAATTGCTGCCCTGTTCTGCTTGGTCCCAGGGAGCTGAACCAGACCATGGGAGGTTCAGGGAGGCCAATTTAGCCTTGATATTAAGAATCCCTTCTAAATAATTATAAATACCCCAGAGCAAAATGAGCTGCTTTCAGGAGGTGGTGAGCTCCCCATCATTGGAAGCTGCCAAAAAAGGCTAGATCATCACTTGGCATTTATTTGTAAAGGGGACAGAGTGATCACTTGTTAAAGAAGCTACAAAGAGGCCTCATCAGACCTGATATCCAGAGGACTTGAAATGGGGAAGTCCCCGAGCAGAGGCTAGAAAACAATCATCAGAAATGTCACCAGAAGGGTTAGACTAGGTTAGACGAGTCCCTGCCAGCTCCCAGGTTCTGTGGTTCTGTGGTTCTGTGGAGAGCTGAGGCAGGTGTGAGGTCCTCACTCTCACTGAGGCCAGCACTGGTCTAGTAAGTAGCAATGCTCAGATGAGAAGTAGCAAGATCAGTGGAGTGTGAACACCATCATCGGAGAACATGGCGCTGGTGTGACATTGGAGCCAGAAAAATCATCCTTTCTCTCTCTGGTGCATCCCACAGGTAACCCTGGGCAAGTCCCTTCAGCCCCGGAGCCTATAAAATGTGAGAGTCAGACTCAGTGGTCGTAGAGGCCCTGCAGCTCAAGATCTAAGATCCTGAGTCCGTCCTGCCCCACCTCCTGCCTCGGGGGAGAATACCTGGCCCAAAGGCGATAATCATCAGCACCTAAGTCTCCCTTCTGGGTGGCCCAGCCCATAAAGCCCTGCTCAGATAGGGAGAAAGACCGATGTTTGTATTCTGTCTCAGACTATTCCTAGCTCTGGGATCCTCAGGAAGTCCCTTCTCTTCAGCTTAGTTTGCTGGTGTAAACTGAGAATAATCATCATCATATCTGCTTCATAGGCTTGTTGTGAGCCTGCTGGGGAATCTCTTTGCTTGACTATGTCCCTTCGTTACAAGAGTTTACTTATTCTTTTTTTCTTTTCTTTACCCCCAATGAGAGGCGAGGTAAGAGAAGGAGGAAATCAATTTTTGTGAATTAAAGACATTGAGCTAAAATAACAAAAGCTTGTTGACTGACCAAAGGAGGACCTGGATTCCTTTCAGGATTTTGTCTCTGACGATCTTCTGTTCATCTTGACGGCTTTTCTTCTTCCTTCACTCTAACTATTCTCTATTGCATTTAGATTGGCAGATATGCACTGACAGTTTTCTCCCCGCCCCCATCTTTTTTTTTTTTTAAGCCTTTTTACTTACGGCTTTCGTCAAAGGTTCCTTCACTTTCTTCAAACCTAGTTAAAGTCCCGTGTTCTACAAGAAGCCTTACGTATATAAAGGGTGATACTATAAGCAAACTGGGAGAGCAATTTCCTGTCAGATTTATGGAGAACAGAAGAATTTATGACCAAACAAGAGATAGAGAACATTATGAAATGCAAAATGGATAATTTTGATTACATTAAACTGAAAAGTTATGCACAAACAAAGCCAATGCAACCAAGATTAGGAGGGAAGCAGAAAACTGGGAAAGAATTTTTACAACCTGTGTCTCTGATACTCAGTTCTAAGATATATAGAAAACTAAGTCAAATTCATAAGTATACAAGTCATTCTCCAATTGATAAAAGGTCAAAGGATATGAACAGGCAGTTTTCAGAAGAAGAAACTAAATCTATCTATAGTTATATGAAAAAATGCTCTAAATCACTATGGATTAGAGAAATGCAATCAAAACAACTCTGAGGTACCACATCACACCTATCAGGTTGGCCAACATGACAAAACAGGAAAATGACAAATGTTAGAAAAGATGTGGGAAAATTGGAACCCTAAGGCATTATTGGTGGAGTTGTGAACTGATCCAATCATTTTGGAGAGCAATTTGGAACCATGCCCAAAGGGCTATAAAAATGTGCATACCCTTTGACCCAGCAATAGCACTTCTAGGGCTATTTCCCAAAGCAATCATACACATGGGGAAAAGACCCACATGTACAAAAATATTTATAGCAGCTCTTTGTGTGGTGACAAAGAATTGGAAATTGAGAGGATGCCCATACATTGGAGAATGGCTGAACAAACTGTGGTATATGAATGTAATGGAATACTGTTGTGCTATAAGAAATGATGAGCAGTCAGATTTCAGAAAAACCTGGAAAGACTTAAATGAACTGACACTGAGTGAAATGAGCAGAACCAGGAGAACATTATACACAGTAACAGCCATGTTGTACAATGACTAACTTTGATAAACTTAGCCCTTCTCAGTAATGCAAGGATCTAAGACATCTCCAAAAGTCTCATGATGGAAGATGCTCTCCACGTCCAGAGAAAGAACTATGGAGTCTGAATGCAGATCAAAGCAGACTATTTGTTCTTTATTTTTCTTCTGTTTTGTTTGGTTTCCTCTTTCTTGTGGTTCCTCCTATTGGTTCTAATTCTTCCTTACAACATCATTAATGTGAAAATACGTTTAATAGGAACGTAAATGCATGGGCTATATCAGATTGTGCGCCATCTTGGGGAGGGAGGTGGGGAGGGAGGGAAGAAAAATTTAAACTCAAAAGCTTCTGGAAGTGAATGTTGAAAACTAAAAATAAATTAATTATTTTTTTTAAAAAAGCCTTTCCTGCTCCCCCTCAATGCTAGCGCCTTCCTGCTACCAATTACCAACAATTTTTCCTGTATGCGTCTTGTATGCTCTTAGCTGTTTGCACGTTGTCTCCCTGCTTAGACTGGGAGCTCCTTGAAGGCAGGGACTGGCTTTTGGCTTTCTTTGTGCCTGCGGGCTTAGCTCAGCACCTGACACACAGTAAGCATTCAGTAACTGCTGGCTGGCTGCGGGACCTGTGACACAGCCAATAGCCACGTGCTCACAGCTTTTTGCTTGTCATCTCTGTCACTGATGTAATGCTTTGCATGTTATTTCATTTGATACCTGTGGTTGCTGCTGTTGTCCAGTCATTTAGATCATGAACGACCCTGTGTGGTCCCATTTGCAGTTTTCTCCACAAAGGTACTGGAGTGGTTTGCCATTTTCTTCTCCACATGTGATCCTTACAACTCTGTAAGGAAGGTGCTCTTGTTATCTTCATTTTACAGAAAAAGAAACTGAGGCTGAGAGAGATTCCATGGCCTGCTCAGGGCTCGCACAGCTAGTTACTGTCTGAGTCAGGACTCTGACTCCATCTTCCTGACTCCACGTCTGATATTCACCCAGCTGCACTCCACTCTTGGCAAGGCATCTGTCAACCCTGTGCTTTAAGCCCTGGCCCGAAGTCCAAGTCTCTTCTGAGAAAGCCCTTTCCTAGGCAACTGTGCACTGCCCACATCAATATTTCCCCTCTATATCTCTTCCTTTCAAAGGGCAGCACGTAGGATCTCAGCAGCCTGTGATCCTATGTAAAGGCTGTCATCTTTGGCAATAATTTCTATCCATCAGTCAGCCAACAAACATTCACAAAGAGGCTACTCTGTGCCAGGCACTGTATGTGTGTGTATGTATGTATGTGTGTGTGTATGTGTGTGTATGTATGTGTGTATGTATGTGTGTGTGTGTGTACACACAATATAAAGATAATAAATACAGAGTCATTCAACACAAGGTAATTTGGGAGGTAGAGTACTGGTAATTGGGGGCATTATGAACGGCTTCATGCGGTGCCTACCTTGTGTCCCAAAGGAAAAGAGGAGTCTACAAGACAAAGAGGAGGAAGAAGTGTGTTCCAGGCAGGGTGGCTGTGCATAGTGAAAGCCCAGAGATGGACACGGAGTGCCATGGGTGAGGAGCAGACCAGTTCTGATGGTGTATGGAGCACAGGAGGGGAGGAATGCCTAGTAAGGCTGGAGTGGTGGGTTGGGCCAGATTTGAAGGGCTTTGAAAGCAGAGGAACTTCTATTTGAACCTAGAGGCCAGTAGAGTTGACTGCTTAAGAGAATGGCACCAGGTGCCACCCCCATGGCGCCAAACTCAGGGCCACCACACTGTGCACAAGGACCCCCGAGGGCCGGTGTTGTACCTCAGGGATCTGGGGCGGATTTGTAAGGAGCCAAACACTCAGCTGACACTTCCAAAATTCTTGGCGAATTCAGTTACTGGTGGGAAACACCGCCCTGCCCCCACATCCACACCCCACCACCACCAGGCCCTTAATCCCAGCTAGCTTCACCTCATAGCCCCCAATACTGCCCCTCAGGGAGAGCCTTGGGGCCCAGGGGAGGAGTGTGGGAGGGAGGAGGAGCAGAGGAAAGAAGCCAGGACCAAAGCGAGGACGTGATGGAAGCCTAGAAACTTCTCTGCCATGGTTTGGCGTTTGGCCGGGTAGAGCCCCCTAGACCCCGCAATGAGGGAAGTGAAGCAGGCGGCTACAGGAGTGAAGAGAACAGGGATCCCAGTGACAATCCGCAGCTCCCCTCCCCCAACCTGTCATGGAATTACGGTCCCAGAAGGGCCAGAGAGGGTGACACAGCCACGTGCTGCCTCCCCCACCCCACCATTCACAGACAATGGCACACACTGTTGTCCCAGCGAGAAGGAACGTGCGTCTGCTCTCACACGCTATGCACACACACATATGTACACATATGCCGATAGAAGGTGGGCGGGGAGGGGCAGGGATCCGCTTCCTCACTAGAGCGCAAGAGGGCGAGTCGATCAGTCAACAAGCATTTTTATTAAGCGCTTACTGTGGGCCAGGCATCGTGTTGGTGCGTGCACACACACGCACGCACACACACACGCACACGCACGCACACACGGGAGGGATTGTGACGCACACAACTAGCCCAGAACACCTGGCTGTGGAGAGGTAAAAAGGGGATGGAGAGAGGAGGGAGGAGGGAGGAGGGGGGGGGGGGGGGGGGGGGGGGGGGGAGGGAGGAGGGAGGAGGGGTCCCGCCCCGAGGGTGGGGCCTATGTAGCTCCAGGGGACAGCTGCCAAGGCCTGTCTACATTGAGTGAGCATTAGGTGGCCCCGCCCTGCCAGGTGCAGGTAAGGGGGCCCCCCCCCCCCCGTCCCCACTGTGGTCCCCTAACCCGGTTGGCCCTTAAGGGCCCGAGGCGACCCCCCTCTGCCCGTCCAGCGGCTGCCTAGGCGCCCCACCCTCTCCCCTTCCCGGCGCTCCGCTCACAACCCTCCTCCTTCTCCTCCTCCTCCATCTCCGCCCGCTGATGCCAGGGTTGCTGCTCCTGCCGCGCACCGCGCTGACGCCAGCGGGACGGGCAAGGGACTGAGGGCCGGGCAGGCGCCTGGGAGAGCGGAGGCACGGGGCTGCCAGGTACCTGCCGGGGCCCGATCTGGGGGTGCCCCTGCGGGGGTGGGCTAGGAGCCGGGGCCCCACAGCCGGCTGTTGGCAGGTGGGGCACAGGGAGCCGTGGCGGGGAGGCGGTGTCCTCTTCTACCTTCCTCCTCTGTCGGGATCCGGGGGCCGGGGGCATCCAGCCCAGCCGGGGATGAGCAGGGAGATGTGGGGAGGCGGGGGGGGGAGCTTCAGTCCATTCCGGTCTTGGTCCGCGTAGACACGGCCCCTGCTGGGTGGCTCCTCCTCTGCCGCCGCCACCGCCGCACCTGCTGCCACCTGGCTGGGCTCGAGCAAGTCCCCAGGGGACATTTTTACGGGGGAAGGGAGGGGAGGAAGGAGGCTATTCCGGGATGGGGCTGAGCCACCAGGCAGACGTTGCCTTTCCCGCTGCCAGCCCGGGCCTGGCCTTGCAGCCTAGCCCAGCCCAGCCGCAGCTCCGGCAGGCTTCCTTTAAACCCATGCACATCCTGTTCCCAAGGCAGCCCCAGCCCCCTCCCCCACCCCCAGCTGCGTCCCGGGGTCAGAGACGGAGGCGGCCAAGGCCGTGGCCCAGCTGAGGCAGCTGAGGATGCTGGGGGCAGAGCTGCCTGGGGCCCACCTCCCCCAGCCCAACCCCAGCTGGGGGTCCCTGTCTCCTCCCCTAGGAAACCATTCAAGGACAAAGTTGTCAGCAAGCCGGGCACACTGTGGGTGTGGGGAGGGGGATTCAGGTTCCCCCAGAGAGGTAGGAGCCCTGGGCCCCAGTGACTCAGGGTACTGGCAGCGAGAGTGAAGTTCCTTGGGGGCCTGGGGTCTGTACCCAGGCGGCAGAGAGAGCCTGGGAAGGAAGGAAGGGAGGGAGGGAGGGAGGGAGGAAGAGAGGGAGGGAGCTGCCCCCAGGTCAGTCCCAGTTCTAGGGCACAAAAGCTCCTGGTGTCAACGCCCAGGGGTGCAGACTCTGGTATGGTGGGTGGAGCAGGAAGGAAGCCTGCTCCCCTGTGTGGTCAAGATTCACCCCCAAAGTCACCCCAACAGGGGGAGAGCCTTGGGGCAGGGAGAGCATTAGGCAGCTGTCGTAATTGTCGGGTTTAAGGCCTGAACTGACACTGTGGTCATGGGAGTGAACATAAAGGAATCAGGTTCAGGATGTTTGAGGGGAAGGGAATCACCATTTATACTGCTGGTACTACTCTCTAGGCTCTGTGCTAAGCAATTCACAAATATCTCTTTGGATCCTTACGACACCTCCCACCTCACGACACCCCCGGGGAGGTTTTACAGGTAAGGAAACTGAGGCAAACGGAGGTGAAGGCACTTGGCAGGGTCACACAGCTCCTTCTGGATGGGAGGTCACTGGGACAGGGGCTTCCCTTCTCATCCCTCTCTAGCCCAGGCTAAGTAACGGCCAATCCCTGAGACCTGTGACCATGTACTTTAGGAGATGTACTGAGCAGGGAGCGGGGAGCTGGGCCCAGAGGGACCCAAACCCTACAGGGAGGGGATCTGGGGGAAGAGATGCAGCCTGGGGTAGGGCTTGCTTTCATGTAAATTGTGTGTGAATATACCCACGTGTGTGTGTGTGTGTGTGTGCACATATACTTCACATAATTTCATTCTGAGGCTGATCCCTGGCCTTGAAATAAGCTGACACTTTGTGGTGTATACCTGGCTGAGCTGATAGGATTGGCTGTGATGACACACATCAGGAGTGGGGTATGTGAGAGACAGGAGAGACAGAGACAGGAGAGTGCACATGGCACCCACCATGCCTCACTCCTGGCTTGGGCTCATCTTGTAGTCTGGTTTCACACATGCCTCCCTGGGGGTGAAGGCTAAACTTCTGAGCTCTAAGTTCTGTTATGGCTCTCAGTCTGTGAGCCTGGGACATGCCACCTCCTACCTCCATCCCTTTGCCCAGAAGATTCTCTCTCCTCATCTCCACCTCCAGGAATCTCCTGGGGTATCACGTGGGGCAGCTAGGTGATGCAGTGGAGAGAGCACCGGTGCTGAGGTCAGGAGGACCTGAGTTCAAATCTGGCCTCAGACACATAACACTCACTAGCTGTGTGACCCTGGGCAAGTCACTTAACCCCGATTGCCTAAAAATAAATAAATAAATAATAACCGATTCAGCTCATGTGCCACCTCCTAGAGGAAGCCTTCCCACCCCCCACTTTGGATGCATTTGGCTTATTATCTGTCATATTGGATTAAGGTGCACATTAATATGCTTATATTTGTGAATACATGAATATCTTTAGTGTAAATATACACAATCAAACACCAAGCTCCTTCAAAGCAGGGAATCATTCATTTTGTCTCTGTATCCCAGGTGTCTGGCACATAGTAGGTGCTCCATGAATGCTTGGAGCATTGATTGGATAGGCGGGTGTTACAGCCAGTTAATCCAGTCTCTTTGAAGCAGTTCTTTGGCTAGCCAGCAAATGGACTGGCTAAAGGGACCTTTGGAGATGGTCCAACCCCACAAGGAAATAGGCCCAGAGAAGGACAACAACTTGCCCAAGGTCATACAGCTAGGAAGAGGCAGAGCTGGAACTGGAACCCAGGTTCAGCCTTTGGCTCCTCGTCATTCTAACGGTTGGAGGTCAAATCCCCTTATAAAAGGATTTGTTCTGTGGAGTTTGGATGAAAAGGGCCACACTTGAGGACCTAGAGGGCCACATGTAGCCTCGGGGTCGAAGGTTCCCCATCCCTGAACCCATAATCCCTTTGCAGATGTCGACTAACCCCAGATCTTTGTCTTTCATGTAAGACTGTTTTACTCTTTGAGTAAAAGGGGCCAAAAGGATTGAAGCTCAATTGGAACTTGTGGCCTTGGACCAGTCCTTACCTCACTAGAGGCTTCCAGCGTCCCTTCAGGTTGTGACAGAAACATGGGAACCGAGTTCTAACAGTATCAGCTTCAGACAGCGTCATTGTTCCCAGACAGAGCCCTCAACTGGCACCGAGAACAATCAGCCTCCAGAGCATCTCTCAGGCAGAAGGCCGGAGCTCAGAGGCTTCCCTCAGTGGAGGGAGAATCCAGTGCTCGGGAGTCCTAGGCTTGGGGCTGGGCGTGTGCTGGCAGCCAGGGTAATGGGGGCTGCCGTGGGGAGCCAGCCTGTCCTCCCAGGCTCAGCTGCCATGTCCCGTGATGCAGAGGATGGGGAGAGAGGCTGTTTTTGTATCATAGTCTACGGGGTCTGAAGGCTGCCCCCCATGTCCCGCCTAAGCTATCTCAAGTGGAAATTGCTAAGGTGCCAGTCCATTCATGATAAACGGAGAATTTAAGCAGTTGTAGTCCAAAGAGGCATTTTTAACATGGAAAACTAATTTGTCCTTTGCTGCTGCCTTGCCTTGAATGTAGGAATCATTTTCTCTTGGTAAGATGATGCCAGTTGGTGAGGTAAAACGGTTCCCGCCTCAGATGTTTTCAAAGTCCCGTTTAGAAGAGGCATCTCCAAAAAAAATCTTAAAAAAAAGAAGAGGCATCTCCAGACCATTCAACCAGGGGCCAGGATTTTCAGTCCTGTCTTTGTGGCCTTGGGGCTTTGGAGATGGTGCTGCTTAGGAGGCATTTGACAACCCAGAGAAAAATGACCTGGAACCTGAGGTGGGAAATGCCCCTGCTTTCTGCTCATGTTTGGTTGATGTTTAGGCCAGGTGGGCTCTTTAAGGGTACTCTATCCCCCCAAAGAGGGGGACCACCTACCCTTTGAAGGAAGCTCTGTTTCTATAGTCCATTGGACCTGTTGGGGTGGTTAGAAATGTATTCTAGTTTCACATTTATTTTTTTTAAAAAATCACTGTAAGAAAAAAGGGAGTAAAAATGAAATTCAGGAAGATAATTAGGAGACATGGCTAGAGGATTGGGACTCCCAGAGGAAGATCCTCCCCATGTGGATCAATACCTTGGCTGTAACTTCTATTCTATATAAGAAGCCTGGAGCCCTGAGAGTTTAAGTGACTTCCCCAGGGTCACACAGCCAGTCTGTGTCAGAGCTGAGACAATCTCTGGTCTTCTGCTCCCTATCCACTGCACCAGAAGTGTTGGACTTAGGCCCAACACTCTGGGCCAGATTAAAATGTCATCAGGAAATGTTTTAAAAGAAATAAAAATTCTATGCAACATAGATAATGTTAATTTGTGATTTTCCAAGTCAATATTTGCCTCCAGGGATCTGATTTTCTTACTACATCATGCTGCCTCTCAAACCTGATAACAAAAATGCATTTTGAAAAAGCTGATTAATACCAAGATATATTTTTGTAGTTTGGGTTTATTTTATTATGATTTAATCTTTCATTTAATTTAACAGCTGAAACCCAGCATGATGCACCAGCATGATTTAACAAAAGTGAATTCAGCAAACATTTGTGATGTCTCTCCTGCCTTTTGGATCCCAGAAGGGCAAAGATAAAAGTGAGACTACCCCTGCCCTCTGGGAGCTTACATTCTCCTGGAGGTCTACAGCCTGTCTGTGCATGCAAAACAAATGTATGATATGTTATGACTGTGAGCCTAGGACCCAGCTGGGCTAGGGGGAGAGCAGCCCAGAAGGCAGCCCAATGGAGACATGAGAGAGCTTGGAGGCGAGCTGGGGAGCCAAGGGCACTTTGGGCAAATCTGTAAGGGTTGGGGAAATGGGAGGCATGATTGCTGGGCTCATCGTAGGGGGTGGCGGTGGTGATCATCATCGTCCTTGTCGCGGTCATGATCGTTACCATCATTAACCACCCCACTCTCCCCTGCTTGATCGTGGATAGGTGGTGGTTGAGCTCTCTGGGACTTTGTTTCTTATTTTAGAAGAGTCGCTGAAGTGGCCTGCCTGCTCTGCTGGCTGCTCCCTGCATTGGTTCTGCTCGAGAAGCCCTGTGGCAGGCGGGGAAGGGTGAGGAGTGGCGCAGTTCAGGCTGAGTTCCCAGTTTTGAGTCTGCCCAGATAGCTGCTCTCTATTTGGCTGACCTCAAAGGTGGTGATGACCCCCCGACCGAGCTGTGTGGTCTCTCCCTCTCCTTCCTACTTTCCTGCCTAATATGATCTTTAAACTTTGGTCCCTGGACACCTGCAAACAGATTTTCCTTTATACAAGGCTCAGCCCCACCATCATCTCTGGGTATTCTTTCTGGATTCATCCCCACTGAAAGTTTTCCTCTTCTTGCAATATTCTTGGAGTAATTTTGAGTCTTCCCTCTACCCCCACTCTCCTTCTGCTCAGTATAATACTTTTTTATGTGACTGATGTATCCTCCCCCTTCCCACAGACACACCAGAGGAGAATGTAAGCTCCCTATAGGCAGGAATTTTGTTGTCTTTGTAGTATCAGGGCCCAGCATGAGGCTTGGCCTAGTAGGTGCTTAATAAGTGGCATTTGTGAGACAACTGCTAAGCAAAGTAGCCCTTTTAGAGCTGATACTATCATTTGTGTATACTTCAGTGTGAATGAAATGTTGGAAGAGTCAGTAGAGGAAAGGGAAGAAGGATGTGGGAGGCACTGGCCTGAGTACCTGGAAGGGGGGAAGGGGTTGGGTGCTCATCGTGGCCCACAGCCTTTCCATCTCTGTCTGAGTGCCCTTCATTCATGCAGTTGAGAAGTCATTCCCTTCTTTTCTGTTCACCTATACAGAGGCTGGGGGCAGCTTAGAGGCTCTGAATATTCCAGCTGCATCTTGGGAGGCAGTGATCAGCCCCTGCCAGTGTGGGGGCTGACCAGTCTCCTTGCTGGAGTGCAAGCCAAGTGAGGGACATGTCACCATGAGCCATGGAAATAAAATGGCCTGTCCCAAAGAAATAGGCTCACCCATTGATGGGAAGAACTGTGGGGCTTGGGAAGGGCATGGAGCCCAGGCTGTTCTGGCACTTGGGCTGGTTTTCTTCTGCCCCTGGGTCTGATCAGTGCTCCCAGCTCAAGGCAGGCTGAGCTAGATTCCAGGTTCTGTGGCATTACCATTGCTCAGTCCTCCCTTGTACTCTGCTAAGCCAGAGAAAACTGAAGTCACCATGCTCACAAGCTCATGGTCCTCTCTGTCCCCTCCTGTAATTGTCCCTCCACCTTTGAATGCAAAACCCCTTCTCCTCAGCCTTTTCTCTTCCAGGCTTCCGTGGGACTGCTCTGGGGCATTCTTTGTCCAATCCACTCCAACTAGCATCATAAAGCACCCACTGTGTGCCTCCACACACACATACTGGGGATACCCACATAAACTACATCTGCCCTCAAGAAGCTCGCATTTTGCTCTAGTATCCTGACAGTAGAAAAGTTTGAGCTCAAACGCTTCTTATAAACATGCACAAAAATGAGCACCCAGCTCCCTCTCTGACGTACTCTTCCTTCTCTGCAGGTGATGTTCTGATTCTCTCCTGCCATTTTCCTGCCCCTCCCCCTGAATCATCAATAACTGAAGGACAAAAAGAAACATGGAAGGACACAAATGGTGAGTAACCTTCCTCCTTCTGACCCCCGGTGGTGTGTGTGGGCAGTTTTTGTGGCCCACCCTGCACACAGTCAGACAAGAGACCTTGATCAAGCACCTACTGTGTGCCCGGTAAGGTGATGAGTGCTGAGGATCCAAAGAAAGGCCAAGGCCAGTCCCTGCCGTCAAGGAGCTTATAGTCAGATGGGCCATCCGTGAGAAGCCCAGATCCCAAGGGGCAGCAGCACATTCTTGTGAGGACTTGCTGCCTCATGGTTTGTCTTTCTTCCAAGGAAGCTCAATGGCACAGATATCAATGATGGTGTCAGCCCCCTTTCTGAATCACTCTCCCTAAGACATGAAATAATCAGAGTGATTCCAGTCTCTGATGAAAGTTGGTCTCTTGATTTTATGGTCGACCATTCATGAATACTTACCCCGAATTAATCGTTCTTAGAAACCTATAGTGAATGAAGTGGGGATAGCAAGCATGTCTATCTGTCACCTGGGACAGAGGTGGACTTATTAGAAATTCTTACAACGTCCACGTCTCATTAAGGACAGGCCCAACCCCCTTGTTGTCTGAGATATGAAATAGCAAAGGCATTTTGTTGGTGTCTTCCAAGAAATATCCACATAGAATGGCCCATTCTAAAAGGTAGATGGGTCTCTGGTCTCCTTGCCTACCCTGACCTCAGTGACCAAACAGTTCCTAATTGTTCCAGATTGCTTTCCTAAGCCAATGGGATCTCATGCCCTCGTAACCTAGACAACAAGTGTCTGGTTTGTCCAGAGTCAGCCTTACGAGGTTGGGATTCACTGATCAGATGATCTCAGGGACACTGGTGAGGGCCCACACAGCCTGAGGGAAGAATGGGGGCACTGAGCACCTGACAGGTCAAAGACTCCAAGAAGGGAATAGAGAGGGAAGGCCAGAGGGGATTCTATCCAGAGAGTGTCCCACAGCTGCTGCTGCAGCCTCTCTTTCCAGGGTCTAACTATGGAATTTTTTTTCCACATCTATTAACATATTTTGAAAGAATGTTTTTCAGGACACTCTCCCTTAGGGAATGACATATTGTTCATTATTTTTGTTCAGTGTAAAATCTGTTACCATTTGATGATTAAAATGTGAAATTCTTAGACATCTTACCTTTCCCCCATATGCCAGTCTTCTGTTCTCCAGTCATCATCCCTTGAGTGTCAGAGAAGAAGAGAGTGCTGGGCTTGGAGTTCAGAGACTTAGCTTCTAATCCTGGCTTTGCCACAAAGTAGCCAATCTGGGAGCGTTTCATCTCTGGGAGTCCCAGGCTTGGTCTCTGAGGTCCAGTATAGGCCTGAGCCTCATGTTGAAATGTCATTGAAAAAAAGACTGGCAAATATTGAAACACGTCATTTCCTGTTAGTCAAATAACATGCTGAGAGAATACTTCCTGCCTAGCCCAGAACTGTTGTTGGCAAATGAAGGCATCCGACAGAAATTCCCTCACAGCTTCCCCCTCTTGTAACTGCTCACATGTCCTTGGCAGCTACTCCAGGGAATTTTATGACCAATACGCCCAAAGTCAAGACAAATCAGTTGTGAACAAGATGCAACAGAAGTACTGGAAAACAAAGCAAGCCCTCATCAAGGCGACGGGCAAGAAGGAAGACGAGCATGTCGTGGCTTCCGACGCAGACCTGGACGCCAAGCTAGAGGTGAGTGGACGCCCCCTGGTGGTCCTGGATGAGCGCGGCTCACACGCACTCCCGAGTGGCCAAGACACAGCCTGAATGCGTTCACGGCATCAGGCAGAGGTGGACGTGGGCCCTCTCCCCAGACTGATCTCTACACGTCTAGTAAGTACATTGGGAGGAAAAATGAGGCCCAGATGAGTAACCTTCCGAGGACGGAACCACCTTCGCCCCCTCCCTTCCCCCCACAGATCAGGACTGTGCCCTGTAAGAAATCCCGGAGGGGGAGATGACAGGCCATTGTCCTGGAAGAGGGCAGGCTCCGGCTCAGTTTTCAGAAAGAAGGGCCGCTCACGTTAATTTCTAGCAAAATTTTGGGATGGATAATAGGCACAGTAGTGCTAATGATAATGTAATTACTAGCATTTACAAAGTGCCTTAAGATGTACTGAGCACTTTATAGATAGTATCTCATTGGATCTTCACAACACATGGGGGAGGTAGGTGCTATCACTATCCTTATTTTCCAGTTGAGGAAACTGAGGCAGATAGAGGTTAATTGACCTGCCCAGGATCCACAGCTACTAAGTGTCTGAGGCAGGATTTGAACTCAGATCTTCCTGACTTCAGGCCCAGCTCTCTGTGCATTATGGCACCCCCTAGCGGCCATATAGGGCAGAGGGTTGGTGAGCACTTGGAAGGAAAGGTAATGAGTGATCCCCTGGTCTCAGCACAGGTTCCTTGGGTTCCCCAAGGACCCATCAAGAGGCTCACAATATGATTTAATTGAACAAACGTGATGGAGAGCCACCCATGGGCATGAGCTTGTGGTCCCTTTGGGTACTCAAGGGTGGAAAGGAACAGCCCTGCCCTCAACAGCCTTCTGGTATAAAGAGGGTGTGTGAGACATACCATTGACTTGGCATGACACAAGGCAGTGAGGTGGCGTGAGGGCAAAGAGAAGAACAGACAAAGGATGGCAGGCAACTGGGGGAGGGAAGATAGCTTCAGAGGGAGGGGGCACCCGGCCAGTCCTGCAGGGGAGAGAGGGTCTTAACAGGCAGAGATGTGTAGGGTGAGACTAGGGAAGAGCCAGGAATCCATATGGGCCAGAATGTGGAGTGAGGCAAGGAATGATGGGTCATGGGCACTAAAGACCTTGTGGAGCCCTATTGGGGAGGGCCTGAAGAGTTAGTTCCTCATAGTGTGGCCACAATGGGCTTACCCTCAGAGGTCTTTGAACAAGGGAGTGATCTGGTCAGACCTGTGCTCTAGCATGGCTGTCCTGAGAAGTGACAAGTGTGTGAAGGGCAGACTGGGAAAGAAGCAGCAGGCTGGGAGCCCGGGTAGGAGGCAAGGATGTCTGTTGATGTGGTTTAGGGATGTAGGGACACCAAGATACCAAGGTACAGGACAAAGTTGTCTGGAAAGAATTCAGACTCAAGCAGTCTTCCAGTCGGGGCAAAAAGTTTATTGGAATGCTAATATGGTGGGCAGAGCTCCCTAAGGAACTTGCCACCTAACAGCAATGATGCTATTGCTTCTATAGGAAAAGTAATGAATTATGTGACAAGTATGCTAATTAGGTGATAAGATACTACCTTGGTCACAGGGCTCATTCACTACTGGAAAACGGGGACAGGGAGGGGTTTCCTAAGGGGGGTGTTTTTGGTCTGTTATGTTTGAAACGACAGCTTCAGGAGTTAACATCTATAGCTTGACCTCTGGAGTGTATACAGTAACTGTGGGAATCAGTACATGATAGTTCTGCTGGTACAAGATAGTCCTGTTCATACAAGTGAAATTCTAGAGGTCAGCTTGTTCTTGTAACAAGGAGAGATAGTTTGCCTCACTGCGCCCACTCGTGAGGCACTGCCAGAGATAGGGCCCTTGGGCTGGAGGGAAACTGTCAGGGATAGTGCCTTGAGGCCAGGGAGAAATATGATCTTGGAAGTGGGGTCAGAGTACAAGCCCCCCAGCACCCCATCATGTCCATCCAAGAGGGTCCTAGTGAGGTAGCAACCACGTGAGTGGAGAGAAGGGGACAATTTGAGAGAGGTTGTGGAGATGAAAATGATAAGAGAGAAAAAGTGGGTAGAGAGAGAGAGATGGAGAGATGGGGAGAGAGGAGAGAGATGGAGAGATGAGAGAGACAGAGAGAGAAGAGAAGAGAAGAGAGAACCAGAGAACATTAATTAAGCGCTTCCTCTGTGCCAAGCACTATTAAGTTCTGAAGACACCACAAGAAAACCATAAGGCCCCAGCTCTCCAGGAGATGACGTTCTAATAGGGGAGCTAGAAGGAGGGGAGGATTGACTAGTAAAGGAAGGTCAGGGGCTGGATGGCCCCTGTGGAGATGGAGCAGGCACAGTGTGATTTCTGATGCCATGGAGGTTCCAAGCAGGGATTCATCAGTCACAGAGCTGGTCTTGGGGTGGAGTCATTACCTGGGGCCAAAGTAGAAATAGAGCAGGAATGAGCCAGACTAGGAGAGTGTAATTGTATTAGGGTTAGAATTCAGACTAAAGTGGTAAATTTGGGAAGAGTTGACCCTGTCACATGGGCACTTAATCACATCTTTCCTGACTTCATTGGGGAAGTGGAAGGGGGAGGAAAACAGTGGTCGGGATGATGCCTTGACTTGGGCGATTCACAGATGATGAGTTCTGATGATGTTGACCTGGATGTTGACTTGAATGGTCACTAGGAGTGATACATCTGGGGCTCTGTCCTTGGTCCTGCCCTGGGAAACATTTTTATCCATGCTTTGGATAAAGGTGCTTCTAAGTTTGTGGCTAACACACAAGGTGGAAGGGATAGCCAATGTCTTGGAGGACAGAATCAAGATTCATAGACATCTCAAAAGGCTAGCATGTTGTTCTAGAACCCACAAGATGGTCTCCAATAGGGATAAATGTAAAGTCTTCCCCTTGTGTTCAACAAGTCAGTTGGACAGGGTAAGGAGACTGAGAGAAAACTTACTGTCAATTCCTATGAAAAAGACATGAGAAAAAAAAAAAAGACATGAGAGTTCCAATTGACTGCCCCCTTAACACAAGCCAGTGATGAGAGGTAGTGGCCAGAGAATAGAATGGCTTGGGCCACATTTAGCGGCAGGCCACATCCAGAGAGCTAAAAGAGATGCACTTGCTCTAGTTTCTTCTGCTCAAACCATGTCTAGAGGACACAGTTGAGTTTGGGGTACCACATTCTCCAAGGGACATTGCAAAAATCTTTAGTGCATTAGAGAGGGGTGAGGGGGCTGCAGGTCATGTTATCTGTGAGGGACAGTTAAGAGATATCTTCAAACATTTATAGAGAGGCACCGTGCCTCAGCCAGACCAGGATTCATGCCATGGCTCTGCATTCACCAGCTACGGAGTCCAGGCAAGTCACAACCTCTCAGACCAGCAGTGTCAAACTCAAATACAACCTAAGGATCCCAAGTCATGCAGATGGACTTAGAAAACCACAGATTGACCTTATCTATGTCCCATTGTGCTTTATTAACTTTTGTTAAATATTTCCCCATTACACTGTAGAGCTTCCTCCAGCATCTGCTCTAGGCACCTCCTCAAGACTCTCCACTGTTGACAAGGGTCTCCCCTTCCCTGGAGGAGGGAGTTTTCTGACTGGAGGGCTTCTCTACATGGGGGAAATTACATGCTAGTCCCTTTCCCTTCTACTCAATTAGAAGAGGGTTTGTTATATGCCAGAGCTATGGGAACAGTGTTCCAGAAATTCATCCCAGCCCTTTCAGTATAAGCGGTGGGGATGCTATCAGCCAGGATGGGCAGCAAAGGGCCTGGGCAAAGTGCCCCAAGGTGGGCTCCAATCACAGGCTCTACATCTCTCACCTGCTTTCTCCACACCCCCTCTGTATGTTTTCATCTCCTGAGAGTTGAGGGTAGAAAGGGGGCTCAGAGCATTTATCAAGTGCCTACTGTATACCAGACCCTGAGCCAGGTGCCCTGTATTATCCCATTTTCTGATACAAATGACCTGATACCTTACTGTGTATCTCTCTGGGCTTGCCAGCCCTGAACTGCTTTTATGTGACTCCCTGACGGCAGGTTGTCTGAGGGAGTGTGAGGAGGTGCACCTCCCCAAAGCTGGCCACAGGGAATGTTTTTGGCCATAGCAAATAATGGAGACACTCTACCAAGCCAAAGGAGGGTGCAATCTACACTAGTGAAGAGAACACTCACATTGTGAAATCACAAGGAGTGAAGTATTGTAATCAGTTCTTAAAACCAGTTCTTAAAAACATCTTTTAAAAATGAGTGGTCACATATATTTCTTCATAATATTACAAACCAGGGAGAAGCTGTTGGTCTCAAGGGTTGGCTGAAAAATCAATGGCTCTGTTTGACTTTTTAAGGGGAGGGGGCATAACTCCCACTTTCAGAGTGTTCCCTCCTTGATTGCTAGTGCATGAGGTCAGGGATTAGAGCTTCACTCCTTTTTCTTAAGGTCTTCATTCCTGTTAGATACAAATTCCCCTGAGAAGGAGGTAAAACTATGACTCTCGTCAGTCATTTACACTTTAGTGTGAATGAATTTCAAGGAACAGATTATTAATAAGTAGATTGTGAGGCTACTGGGTACCTTGGGAGAGGGAGGAGGAAACAATGGCAGGCAGAGAATGGTCAAGGACTCAGCTGAACCCATCCCCAACATCCCTGAGCTGGCTCTGGCTATTGATTTGTTGAGTCATTTCATTTGTGTCCAACTCTTCACAACCCCATCTGGGGTTTTCTTGGCAAAGACACTGGAATGATTTGCCATTTTCTCCAGCCCATTTCACAGATAAGGAACTGAAGCAAATAGGGTTAAGTGACTTGCTCAGGGTTACCCGACTAGTCAATGTCTATAGATACACAATGCTAAAAATAGATTCATGAGAAATTTTTATGACTGCCTACTGTGTGCCACACACCATGCTAGCTTGGGGGAGGTGAGAGGTTCCCTTAGAAGTCCTGGCCCTCCAGGAATTTATAAAGAAAGGGGAAAGGCTAAACACACATGACCCTAAGGACTGTCCAGAGAACCCGGATTAGCACACAGGAGCCAAGCAGCCAGTAGGGTCACTGAATTTGTTACTTTTCCTCAAAACATTTCAGAACATGAAGGGCACGGCTTTATTAAGTGGCTCCTACGGGGCCATTGCTGGCCTGTTTAGCATCATGTTTAATTGAAAATTCATTCTTTAAAAAAACCAGCACTTTGGTAAATAAAGTGGGAACCAGACCCTTGAACTGGAAATACTGGTCTAGAGTCTCTCTTACCAAATTGCCAACAGTCCGGTCCCTTCCTCTGCATTTCAACTGTTGTGCTATAGGGTGGAAGGGGGGGCAGGATGAGAAGGGGATGGGGAGGATGGGGGGCGCTGAGGTTGCACTGGAGCGCAGAATGACCCACCTGTGTTATAATTGCGCATCAGCTGAAACTGAGAGCGGGTCAGTGACTCGAACAACCTGGGTCTTTGTAACCCAGAGGCTGCTCTACATAAAGAAAATCATCATGGTCATTTAGAAATCTTCTGCACTCTGTACTGTGATCCAGAGAGACGCTCCCTGCTCCCCCTTCCCCACCAAATATCCCCATCTCTGGTGCCACAAAAGTCCTGATGCTATTGGGAAAGTCAGAGGGAAGTCTCTGGGGCCTGGACAGTGGTCAGATGGGTCACAGGGCATGGCAGTGTCCCTTCCCCCTTTATCCCAGGCTCTGCAGCTGAGGCTGCCTTAGTCACTGCCCTGTAACCATTAGGCTCCCCTGCTCTCTCGGTCTCCAATCCTTCCTCCCCATATGGCATCAATCCCATCTCCCTTTGACCATGACCAGAGCCCTTCAAGGTCTCTCCTGCAGCCTCCAGCTAGTGCTCACTCTATGTGTGCCCCCCTGCCTCCATCCTTCTCCCCTCAGAAAGGGGCTGGAGAAAGGGGGGATTGTTGCCAGAGCCCTAAGGACTTGCTCGGAACGTCTGGGGAAGAACCACACTTGTGGGAGCATCTCCACAATGAGATCCGTGGTCGTGGCTTTGATGGTCCTGTGGGGGACGGAATCCCCCACTTTTGGTGCCTCTGGGTCCCAGCATGTGAAACCCTTTCCCCGTGTTTGCTTCAGCTGTTCCACTCCATCCAGAGGACGTGTATGGAGCTCCTCAAAGCCATTGAACTCTATCAGAAGAGGATTTGCTGTAAGTATGCCAGCGACCTTCAGACTCCTGGGCCCTAGTGTGAAACACAGCGAGACCCCTCTCGTGGGTGTCGGTAAGATCCTCATCAGAGACTGAGATGCCCTCTTTGCTCTCTGAGCCTTTCCGAAATTTCTTGGAAAGTGTGCTGCTTTGGGCAGCTAGGTGGTGCGGTGGATAGAGCACCAGCCCTGAAGTCAGGAGGACTTGAGTTTAAATCCAGCCTTAGACACTTACTAGCTGTGTGGCCTTGGGAAGTTAATTAATCCCAATTGCCTCAAAAAAAAAAAAAAGAAGGAAATGTGCTGCTTGTGAGATTCATTTTTTAGTGGAGAATCAGGAACTGGAGCTCATCTACACTGGCTATGCAGAGACTGGGACACGCTTTTCTTCCCCAAATTAAAAGTCTATTGCTGACTTGTCCATTAGGATTTCTATGCACTTGGTTTCCCTTTACTTGTCTGAGTAACAAAGGCTTGGAAACATGCATGATGTGCAGCACTCTGTGCCCAAAGATTCTGTCTATTTTCTTTGGAGAAAAGAGCAGGGGGCAGCTAGGTGGCACAGTGGATAGAGCACCAGCCCTGAAGTCAGGAGGACCTGAGTTCAAATCCGGCCTCAGACCAAACACTTGACACTTAACTAGCTGTGTAACCCTAGGCAAGTCACTTAACCCCAATTGAAAAAAAAAAAAAAAGCAGACCTGGCAGCCCGTGGAGCCCCTACCCCCTCACTCCCGCCATGTTACCTCCACCATGGCTCCTGCTCCCTCGTTGATGGGTTCATCATGCTGGATATGAGTCTATTAGAAAATGAAATTTTCTTATGGTTTGATTGAAATCCATTTTTCAAGCAATTGTCCTGAAGGGCCCGTGCAGCTTCCTCTGGGTAGATCTACTTTGGGTGGCCATATCTACACATTGGAATGTCAAGAAGTTGTTTTGAAAAGGTATCATTCACACATTGTGAGATGAGGAAATGAACAGATCTCTCGTCCACTTGTTTCTAAAGCCTTTGCCAGCATTTGAGCATCACTGGGTACAAACAGCTGCAGTGGGAAAAGGAAAATCATGTGATCTGGAGCCAGACTGAAAAACCATTCTGTGCTCACCAGGCAATGGCTAATGCATGCCCATGAGCCCACATCCACATCCGAGAGCCTAGAGTCCCCGGGGGATGCATTTGCCTTCAGCCAAACAGGAGGAGATTCCAAACATCACCTGGACCCCTCTTTTCAAGGGCCCCATTTCCGGTCCCTGGATCGATGCTTGGAATCTCCTCCTGACTATCACCAGCCCAGGCAGGTGGGCTGGAGACCCTAGCCTCTGGCCCCACCAAGAGTTTCATGAAGTAGATTCAGTCACCAATCAACACTCAAGGAATTAGTCGGTAATGACTGACCCACAGGGCACCAGCAGCACTGGGCGAGGAGCCCCTCTTAGAAGCAGCCCAGAGCAAACAGAAGGGGCAGCAACCTTTGCCAACAGCCCAGAGCTAGGGGAGAAGTTCAGCCCACATGCGCTCCCCTGAGACCAGGACAAAGCAATTACTTCCAAGCATGCTCAGGGAGGAGGGAAGGCTCTCTTCTGGCCTTTGTCCGTTAGGAAAAGGACTCCAGTAAGTAAGCCCAGTGTGGACACAGCCCTTGACTCTGGGAGATTCTCTGGGAGAGAACCAGGAGCTCTGTCCTTATCAGTCAAGGACAGCAGTCACCAACGTTTTTGATCACACACCCCAAGAGCAAAAGAATTTAAGCACGCACCCCAATACATGTATATTTGTTTATAAATCACATTCATATGCTACTGTCCTAATGCAATCAAAAGATTCAATTCAGCAAATGTTTCTTAGCACCTACAATGCCAGGCCTGGAGCCCCTGCCCTCAAAAAGCTTATGTCCATGGGCGCACAGGTTACAGGGAGTGGGAGGTCTGGCACGGGCTGCTCCTGCCCCCCACAGCCATGCCTCTCAGATCCACTCCTCAGTGGACAGTTTTTGTGCCTTGTTATGACAGAAAGGATTTATCACCAAGGGTATGAAAGGCAAAGAATAGCGTGAAGCAGACACAGCGTTATTCAAAGTGCATTAGGCCTCTTAGGGCTCCAGAGTCTTGTACTGTCTGCCCTGGGTTCTAGGGTTTGGGGAGGTGGCCCATTTAATGGACTATTGATGTTCAGAAAATGGCAGCCTCTGGGACACCAGATCTGAAGGTGATCCTCCCTCAGGCCAAGAGGACCAGCCCCCTCCCCTCTCTTAATTTGTCTTACCAAGACTCTGGTGGGCAGGGATTTCTGCCTGGGTGATGCTCCCTTTCTTCCTGAGGCCCCTGGTGGTACATTTATCAGAAGGCCACCTGGAGCCTCAAACCAGTTGCCTAAAAAATTAACTGTTTCTTTCAATCAGCAAACATTTGTTGTCTCTTCCTCCCAACTCCCCACCTCTTCCAAGTGGGAAGATAACAACTGATAATAGCACACACTAAATGCTGCACGGTACAAGCACAGTCATTTCTACAGTGACACTTGTTTTGAAAACCCAAAGTTCTTCCCCCACCATCGATACATTCAGGAACAATTAGAACCTAACACTTGCAAGTGTTTGCTTGGGCTTCCTTTCATCTTCAAGAAAGAATGCAGAAAACGGCATCCTTTGCAGACTCGCAAGCAAACTGGGGTGGCATTTTCAAGGGAAACTGCCAGGTTTCTTCTGGGCCTCGGGTGTGCTAAGGCCACCAGCCTCGCCAACCCCTGCAGGGTCTGTGGGCATCAAACCCAGGCCTGTATCTGTGGGGCCATTCCCCACGTCCGAGTCAGCACTGCTACTCCTAGTGATCCCTACCTTCGTTTTACGTGTCACTGACAAAACAAAGCCCATTTTCCCCATCGGCTCTGTGATTTTTAATCGCACAATTTTGCATAGCATTGGTGATTTTTATGAATACGTATGTTGAGTTATTCTAGAATTGAATCTTATTTTGTCTTCACAACCCTGGGAGGTAGGTGCCATTATTATCCTCATTTTACAGATGAGGAAACTGAGGCAGACAGAGGTTAAGTGACTTGCCCAGGGTCACACAATGAGTAAGTGTCTGAGGTCAAATTTGAACTCAGGACTTTCTAACTTGAGGCTAGCACTCACTCTATCCACTGAGCTACCTAGAAAAAGACAAAGCCCTTGGAACAGATACACATAGTCAGGCAAAATAAATTCTGTCATTGGTCATATTTCAAATAGGTATGTATATGTGTGTGTATACATGTGTGTTTGTGTGCATATATGTCTGTGGCACATGTGTGTGGGTTTATATGTGTGTAAGCATGTGTGTTGCGTGCACACGTGCGTGCCTCAGCCTTCACCACTTTCTTAATAGATGGGGTACATACATCCCAGCTGCACCTCTAGAATCATGATTGATCATTGAGCTGATTCTGGTTCTCCAGTCTTTCAAAGTTGTCTTTTCAGGGTCATTATTGTGAGAATCGTTTTGGTTCTGCTCACTTCACTCTGCATCAGTTCAAAAAAGTCTTCCCAGGATTTCTTTGAAACTGCCCCTTTCCTTGTTTCTTATAGCGAAAGAGGGTTCCGTGGGATTCTCTCCCAGAATCTGTGCAGTCAGTCCCCCTTTGATGGGCACGCCCTTCATTCCCAGTTCTTTGACGTCACAAAAGAGATGCCACCAATATTTTTGTTCATGTGGGTCCTTTCCTCTTCCTGTGGCCTCAGAGGGGCTCAGGCCCAGCAGTGGTATGGCATGCCATACCATGGCCAAAGGGTCTTCCCAGTTAAGGAGCAGTTCTAAATTGCTTTCCAGAATGGCCAGAACAGTCCTCAGCTTCACTGACAGTGTGCCAATGTCCCTGTCTTCCCACAGCCCCTCCCCAATCTGTCATCATCCTCTGGTACATTGCACCAATCTGATGGGCTCGAGGCGGAACCTCAGGGTTGCTCTCATTTGCATTTCTCTCATTATTAGTCATTTGTAGCATTTTGTCACATGGCTCTTCATAGCTTGGATTTCTTGCTTTGCCAGTGTATATTATATGATGATTTATCAACTGGGGAACAGCTCTTGTTCTTATAAATCTGAATCTAGTGAGTTTATATCTTTTGTAAATAGTCTCATCTCCCAGTGAGCTGGGGCTGTGGCTGTCTGAGCCACAGAGCTCATCCTGGAAGCCACATAAGGAGAGACACCATTTGGGGGGCTCTCTTGTTGAAAGACACCTGGACTTTGACAGTGTGTTTGTCTGTATGTATGTATGTATGTATGTGTGTATGTATGTATGTATGGAGAGACACCGAGAGACAGAGACAAAGATAGAAACGGGGTGGGGGGGAGGGAGGAAGAGAGAGAGAGAGAGAGAGAGAGAGAGAGTCTGAATGAGCATAGAATCATCCTTTTTACTTGTTAAACTAGGATCAAGGCCAGTTGATCACAAAAAGTCCTATCTAGGAAAGATCTCCCTGGCTGCTGTGTGTGTGTGTGTGTGTGTCTGTGTGTGTGTGTGTGTGTGTGTGTAAGTTCAAGGAATCTTATCCCAAACGTGAGGCTGGGGTTATTTATGATAGAAAACAACAGAAAAGCTGAATGGCAGCTAGGGGCAATAGCAGGTGAGCTGGTGCCAGGGCAGGGAGGCCCGGGAGGCCCTGGCTTTGCTGAGGAGCTGGGTCCAACCTGGGCAGGTGATCATTTGGTTGAAGGGGGGCATCAGTGGGTTGGTGACCTGTCAACAAAGGGCCTGGTTCATAGCTTCAATAGCCCTATTCCCAGTTCTCTGACAGATGGGGGTTTGTCTTCCTTGATATTTGAGCTCTCATCCTTCGAATGGAGGAGCTGTCTGAAAATTCTCTGGGGCTAGGAGATGGGGGAGTGGGGGTGGGGATGGAGCTGGGGGAGGAGATGGGGCTGGGGGAGGGGGAGTACTTGCTCTGTATCCTCTCACTCTCTAAAGAAGGCTTTGGGCTTGCTCCCACCCACCCACCCACCTGCTTGGGAATCCCCATTCTGCTCCTTGTCCCTTTTCCTCTTCTCTCTTCAGTCCTGTCACAAGAAGAAAGTGAGCTGGGGAGGTTTCTTCGCTCCCAGGGTTCCCAGGACAAAACTCGAGCAGGGAAGATGATGCAGGCCACAGGGAAGGCACTGTGCTTCTCCTCTCAGCAAAGGTGAGTCGCTTCCCTTATCCACGCTCTCTCTGGATAGATCTGAGCCCATAGCTCAGTGACCTCAGAAGCTCTAGGTTTATGCGGCTCAGGTGTGATCTTGGGGTCTGCTCCAAAGAGTGTGTATGTCCCTACCCAGAGTTTACTCAGGAAAATTGTCCAGCTAGAGGCCAAGTTTTCACCGATGTGGGTCAAAGGGATCCCGAGATCCCACACAAACCCTGAAGGTAACAATGTACATATTGGATATAGGACGGCTCTATTCCACCACTCAGAAAATTCTCAGGAGGTAATAAATAATGCAGAAGAAGACCCTTGAAGGCTTCAGAGTAGGCCATAAATGCTTTTCCTTCTTTTCTTGTTTTCTTGTTATTTTCACACAAAAATGCGCCTCTTTCCCTCTCACCTCCGTCTTCTCCCCTCCCCGACCCCTGGAGAAAGCGAGAAAAACAAAATCACTGCCACAAACACGTCTGGGCCAGCAAAGCAAATTGCCAAGTTGGCCACATCACAAACAGGACGCCTCTGACCTCCCCTCAGAGTCCGTTGAGGCTCTGTCAGAGGGTGTGCCCCCAGTTTCATCATGGGCCCTTTGGAATTCCAGCCCATAAACCATGGACATAGTTGCCCCCTTGGCTGTGGTTCTCGCTTTCTTCAGGGTGCTCAAGTCCTTCAGACCCCTGGAGTCCCCCAGTCGTTCCAGACTCCAGCTGGAAAGGAAACGTCACGGAGGCATCTAGATTCCTCTTCCCAGATTCAGCCCCAATCTCAACTCTGCTGTGTTCCTTCTCACAATCCCTTCAGAGTAACGTAAAAGAGGGCTGAGTTCTTCATGAAAACCGCCTTTCATAGGCCAGCACAGAGAGCTCCTCCCAATATGCCATCCCACCCCAGTGGGAGCCAAGCAGTTCAGTTGGGAGTAAACTCCCACTGGTAAAACCCAGGCCTCCAGAAAGTGCCCTGGGCTGGCCCAACACTCCAAAGGAAGACAGAATCAGACCCAAACTGAGGCTCACTCTTCTGCCGTTCCTCCTTTAGTTGATCTCGGAATTCCCTTAGCAAAAGCAGTTCAGTTAAGGAATCTTCCCTGAGCCCTCCTCCCGTGGACCAGAAAGCTGCCCTCGGTGGCTAGGTGGAGCTACCTGGCTTCCAGATTTCTGAGAAAAGCCATGTCTGATTTTTCTTACTGTATGTTTCTTCATTGCATGACCTCTATTTAACCAAAAGGGGAATTGTGGGAATGAAGCATTTCTTAGCCTAGAACTAGGCTCAGATTTAGCCCTTTAGTATTACTAGTAGTCAGCTGAGGCCCATTAACTCAATTGATTCAACCAGGAGACCAAGGTCAGAAGTTAGTGCCCTGAATGCATCTGGTGAACCATAGAGCACCCCAGAATGTAGCTCTGTCCCACAACCTAGGAGGTCCTTTCATCCTGGGCACTCCTTCATCAAGATGGAAGCCATGATTCTGGTGCCATTGACCTATAGCTGCCAAAGAAGATGGTGATGTCTGTCCCCCCAGACCGTCACATAGGAGCATGCCTCAGCTGGCCCCAGGACAAACTCGCAGAGACAGAGGCTCATCCAGTCCTGTGTGGTAGAGCCACAATGAGCCGTACAAAGCTAATTGGCCCATGCCATGTGGTGCCCTTTTTTGTAGGCTTCCTAGCAAAGCGCACTTCTCTTTCTCCCAGGAATCTTCCCTTTTAAGGAGGCTTAGAAAGCATAACCACCTGTTTGCAGCAAGTAGCCAGGAATTCTCAAAGCATTTCCATACTTTTAGGTCACAGAGAAAGAGGACGGAAGGGAATGCCTCGAAGGGTTACGTTTCTTTGGGGCTCCACTGCCGGTTTGTTCGGGAGTCGCACTTTGGGGTCTTTCGAGGCTTTGGCATTCAGTCCATGCTCATTCTTCTGGATGTGGGGTGAAGGTGCAGAAGGGGTCACCTCCCCACTGCAGTCTTGATCATTTAACCTTCACACTTGATACTGTAACTTTGTTGAATTTTTGTTTCTTCTATTTTAATAACAAAAGCAAAAAATCAGTCAATCAATGAACATTTATTAAGCACTTACAATGTGCCAGGCTAAGTGTTGGGGATACAAGAGCCAGATACAGTCCTTGCCCTCAAGCAGTTTACAGTCTGATGAGGAGACCACAAGAAAACACATCTTTGCAATCTATATGTAGGATCTAAATGTAGGAGGAAGGAAGAGAGAAGGCATGAGAAGCAGGAGACTCAAGGTAGGCTTCCTGTAGAAGATCAGCGTCTAGTTGGGACATGAAGGAAGCCAAGTGTTCTGGCTTGCAAGTTGACTTTAAAAAAAAAACTGCACTAGATTGCCCCAGGAACTGACTTTAGGAACTGGCCTTTTTTGAAAATCTGCAGAAACTTTAGCAGAAATAACCCACAGGTGAAGGCATTCAGAACCCCCGAGTTTTGGGTCACAAAGAACATCAACAATTAACATGAATTTCCAGAACTCTTGGTTTGGCAGGTCCAAGAAAATTGTCCAGCTTCAGGAGTTAGGAGTCCTTTAAGAGAAGGGACTCCTGTAAGAAAAGAGAATGCTCCAGGATGCTTTGAGCATCGGCAGACAACCTCTCTGGTCTTTCATTAGAAGTGGTTATTCACAGAATCATTTCTGCAGACCTGGAAGGGCCTCAGTGATCATCTAGCCTCGCCCTCTCATTTTGACAGATGAGAAAATTGCCAGAAGGTTAAATGACTTGCCCACCATCGTACTAGCTGCTGCCACCAGGGCTGGCATTTGGACCCATGTTCTCCAAATCTGACTCCCTTTCCACTGCCCTGTGTATGTTAAAGTTGAAACAGACATTGTCTACCTGATCATCATGATTACATAGCTGTGTAACGGGCATGATGTGGAGGAAGGAATCCAATGTTCCATTGGTATATATGTGATGCAATTATGGACTGGTGCCATTGGACCTTTGAAAGTCACTAGCAAGATCCCAGGAGCAGCAGCCATTCCCTGGATTGCAGAGGTCTTAAAACCCAAATGGACAAGCCATGATGCTGCTGCATGGCCAAAGTGGGTTGTTAGCCCACCCCCAAGTCCCCTGGGTGCTCCACCCACAGAAGCTACCTCCTTTCCACCTGATTCGGGCCAGGTGAGGTGAGTGGAATCTATTTGTGCTGGCACGGAGGGCAGGGCCATCTATGCTGAAATCAATTTGGGCTCTTGTCCCTACATCTTACTCTGCTTTCCTGAGACTTTGTGCAGAAAAAAACCAATCGTTTTCAATGGAGTTCAGACAAGGAAGTCTGTCTTTCCCTTTTGTGGAGATGTCCCTGGGGAAAAGCAGTCCTTGTGTCCTAAGCCCATACATAAAATCAGCAGGGGATCCTTCCAATTAGTGTGACCTATAGCGAGATAAAGGAAGCACGTATTAAGTGCATGGTATATGATCTAGGAATAAAAATATAAATGAGCTAGCAGGCCCTGCCCTCAAGGAGCTAAGAGTCTAGTGGGAGATGATATCGCCTAAAGTGGGGGACTGGACAGCAGTGGAGGTGAGGTGAACCATGTGGGCTGTGCTGCACATCTGTGGTCCTGGGCTTGTGCACTTTTCCTTACTCACACATAATACACATACTCATACACACCACACACACACACACACACGCACACACACACACATAGACCACACACCACACAGACACATACTCTCACACACACCACACACACACACACACTCACACCCATACACACATACACCACACAGACACATACTCTCACACACACACACACACACACACTCACACACATACACACATACTCATACACACATCACACAGACACATACTCTCTCTCTCTCTCACACACACACACACACACACACACATATTCAGGGATGCTTTTTACCCTGTATTTCTTCTCCACAATCCCTGGAGCAGGAGATTTCCCAAGGGCTCCTGGCTGTCCAGAGTCCAAAAGGGGGCCTCGCTGTCTGGGTCTCCTTGATCTAAATCTAAACATTAGGCTTTAGGATGGGGGAGGATGGTAACAGCCAAAAACAAGAATGCCAGATGCTGATGGCAGTCAGGTGTAGAAGAGAGAGAGCCCTGGTACTGGAGGGAAGAAATCTGGATGCAAATCTAACCCCTTCTGTCTGTGTGACTGAGTGACTCAGCTTGCTCTACCTGTAAAATGGGGATGATTCTCATGGGGAAAAGAGACAAGGCAACCATTCAGTGATGACCGGACTCCACCGTGGATGGCCTGGGCAGAATGGCAAGAGAACACACAGGAGGCTGTGAGCCTACCAAGTGAACCAGGGATGACTGAGAGGAGGTCACTGGCAAGGACTGCAGGCTACTTGCACCTCTGGAGGGAAGGCCCACACTGAGACCACAGAATACCCAGATGAAGTACCTTCTGGGAGAGCTGGGATGTGTGGAAGGCACTTTGCAATCATCAGCCTTTACTATTATCCTTGTTTTTATTTTATCTGGACCTAGGATGCTGCCTCCTAGCTCTTATTATAAGCCCTCAGTCTAGCTGAGCATGCCACTTTATTTTTCTGTTCCTCTTTTGTGAAATGGGTATAATGATCATATCTATACTGTTTACCTTACAGGGCAGTTATGACAAAAGTTCTTGAAAAGCCTTAGTACTTCTGTAACAGTTATTCTCGCCTTCAATGCTGTGGGACAAGCATGTCCCCCCCCATGCCCGTTCCTCAGGAGCAGCAATGACAGGACCCCACCTGAGCCTGAGGGTTCGAGTCGGTGGAGCCCTCTCCGGGCCCCTGATGGGTTTGAGTGGCACCTCCTGGGAGGGCCCATTCTAGCATGAGAATTGGTATTGGGGGATCTTCCGGTTTCCTTCCTGCAATGGCATCCTCAGCTCAAGGCCTCTTCCTCAGGTTGGCCTTGCGAAGTCCTTTATGCCGACTCTACCAGGAGGTGGAGACTTTTCGGTACCGCGCCATATCTGACACCTGGCTGACTGTGAACCGGATGGAGCAGTATCGCACCGAGTACCGTGGCGCTTTGCTGTGGATGAAAGACGTGTCTCAGGAGCTGGACCCAGACCTTTTCAAGCAAATGGAGAAGTTTCGGAAGGTAGGAGGTCTTGGGTGGAGGTGCCAAGGGGGCTCCCAGGCCAGATACCTGCCCGCCCAGGGCTGAGGGGAAGTCTAGATCACTGGTGAAAAGGTCAGAATGCAGAGACACAGAGGAGACTGCCAGTCCTAACTGGCATCTCCTGATGTGACGGAAGACCAATTAACCTGACACGTAAAATTCTCTGAGAAGGGAGGGCCGACAGAAGCTAACGGCTGGGGTTTAGAACTGGTCCTAATTAGGCGCTGATGTCCAAGTGTTTGTGGGAAGGGTGTTTTTTACTAGGCTGATGCTTTTAGAGATCTTTTAAGGCACAGTAAAGAAGAGTTGGGTTGGGATTGAGTGAAATGTAGCCTGTGGACATGAGGAGATGCTGGGTGCCTCTCTGGAAGAAGTTCCCAAACCCCGACTCACTATAATAGAAATACCATTTCTGTGGTTTGAGTGAAACATCTGGGGACCGTCTGAAGGTTTGGCTCCTGCCAGTGGTGAGGAGGAGAGAGAGGACGTGGGGCTGGGCTTGCAGGAGGAGCCTTCTTGGAGGGCTTGGCTGCAAAGACCTCAGAGTCCTGAGCCTTGGGCCTCCCCTGAACATTGTGTGTGAGCTACACAGGAAGGGCCTATGTGGGGGGAGTGGGGTGGTGTTAAAGATGCTCTGGATTCATAGCCCTTTGTATGTCCTGGGGGGTTGGTGCTTTGGGCATGGATGATGTGAAGGGGGATTTGATTTTTAAGCATCAAATGTATTAGACAACGTGCATTCCAATTTAATCCAGTTTGGTATTGAGTGATGGCTGTAATTAAGTCCTAAGGTCGCCATGTTTTTTTAAGCTGACCTCTTAGCTTACTTTTTAAGTTTATCAATAGCTTTAATTTTTACATCCCCTAAATTTCCAAACATATGCCTCCCTTCTCCTCCCTTTGAGAGCCATCGCCTACAACGAAAGAAGGAAAAAAGCAGCGGAAGAACACGTGCAGCGTTCTCATCCGCAGTCCTCCGCCTCTGCAAACGGGGCGGGGAGGTCCATGTCCACATCCCCTCTTTGGGGCTGGACTCAGCCATTACAGCCACGCGCCGGGCGCTCGGTGGCCGTTCGCCCCTGGTTCTGCATCAGTTCATACAGGTCTTTCTTCTCTGCCTCCCCACATTCTTCATCTTCAGCATTTCTCATGAATTCCCTGGTCACCTCAGTGCGCTTCCCCATCCGCTATTTGTCGGCATTTGCTTTGTTTCCATTTCCTCGTTACTGCAAAAGCTGCTTCTGTGAATATTTGGCATCCTTGAGGCGTTCTGTGCCTGACCGGGGCTCCTCCGGGTCAAAATAGTTGAATAACTCAGTGCCGTTCTTAGCCTATGGCTTCCAGAATGGCTGCAACAGTGTAGCAAGTTTCCTAGTTGCAAGGCTAGGTGCTGCCACAAGAAGGCAGCCTTGCCCTGGCGATTCCCACAGCCTCCTCCCCGCAACCACCCGGGGCCAAAGGTGGCTTCTTTGTCCTCCAGATCTTGAGAAGGTGCAGAGAGAGGAAATCTGCCAAAGGAAGGCATTAGCAGAGGCCCAAGCATGTGACGGTCACTTTTTGTTTGTTTGTTTGTTTGCTTTTTGGTGAGGCAATCGGGGTTAAGTGACTTGCCCAGTGTACATAGCTAGTAAATGTCAACTGTCTGAGGCTGGATTTGAACTCAGGTCCTCCTGACTCCAAGGCTGGAGCTCTATCCACTGCGCCATCTAGTTGCCCCGATGTGACTGTCTTCTTGTGGAAAGACATCTCTTGGTAATTGGGGATGTTTTTCCTTGGGGCTCACAGCCTTGATGGGCTCTCTGGGCATGCTCAGTTAACAGTTTGGGTGGCACTTTTGCACCTGTGAATGTACAACTGACCATCGCCAGGAGGTGGGCAATTTTACAAAGAGTCTCATTGGCTCTTTGTGCTGTGTAACTTAGAGCCCAAATCCCTTGGGAGCAAATGATCTTAGAAGGCTCTTAGGGGCTCTGGACCAGGGGAAGCCTTGGGCTTCTTGCTCCTGGAGTATGAATCCACCAGATTCATAGGCAGAAGCAACCTGAGAGCCCATTTAGTCAATCCTTCATGGCTTCCAGAGGGAGAGACTGAGGAAAGGACACTGGCCAAGGTCATGTACAGTTTGTATATATTGTCGCTAGGCCCAGGGTGAACCTTCCAGAATGCTAGCTTGTTCATTCTCTTCTTTTGCCTCTTTCTGTAAAACCTTGGCTCAAGGGGCAGATTGCACAGGACTCTTCTCCTCAGGGGAGAATGATTACTCAGTGTGCCATGCCTTTGAAGGGCAGGTGGAGCTGGAGAGAGGAGAGAGAATTTCAGGGAGTTTCCCCCTGATGGCATTCATGGGAGCTTCCCTGAAATCTCTACTGTACCATGCTAGAGATAGGGACATGATGCACACTGGGCACTTTTCTGCATGCTGTCCTCTTTCAGAGTCTTTCTCTTCCTTTAGTGGCCTGAAGAGAGGTTGGAATAGCCTGTCTTCTCTTTCTCTCTCGAATCTGGAAGCCAGAAGGACCCACATCTCTTGTCTCTTTCCTCCTCTTACCATCTCCACCTGACCCTCACAAAGGCTGCAGACCTTTAGTGATGGGAAGATCCTCTTCCCCAGGTGCTCCTTTCCTCAGTGGCAGCTCTCCTGGCCAGGGAGTGGACTTTCCCCCTGTCTTTTATCTTTGAGCCCTTGTGTCTTTACCAGGCGAATTCTAGAAACATTCCGCTCTCAGACACTAGGCAGAGGTCTGGAAAGCACTCACTGGGGAGCAGCCTCTTGGTATCAGGAGTTTGTCAGGACTAAATTCAACTAGCTGGTCTTATCAGCTACAGGGTAAATACAGCCGGATAGCAATTCTCCTGAAACAGATGGGGGAGGAGGGGAGAAAGAAGGAAAGGGAGGGTTCATTGTCTGCAAGCACCTTATCAGTGTGATATTGCAGACCCAAACACATTTGTGTGATGTCAGACTGCCTTAAGGAAGGCCGAATGTCCAGAACCAGCAGTGGTAACAGCCCCCTAACCCTGCTCAGAGAACATCTGGAGTCTTGTATTTAGTCCTGAGGACCATGATTTTACTGATTTTTAAATTTTGATTTTAATATCATTTACATGAATTTACTCACAACTGGTGAGTATCCAGGCAACCAAGATGTCTGAGAGTCAGGCAAAGGAAGTAGGAATGTTTAACCTGAAGAAAAGAGGTTTGGAGACTGGCGGGAGGAACATAACAGCTGCCTTCAACTATTTGAAAGGCTATTGGTGGCACAGTGGATAGAGCACCGGACCTGGAGTCAGGAATACCTGAGATCAAATCCAGTCATTGTGTGACCCTGGACAAATCACTTAACCCTGTTTGTCTCAGTTTCCTCATCTGTAAAATGAACTGGAGAAGGAAATAGCAAACCCCTCCAGTATCTTTGCCAAGGAAATTCCAAATGGGGTCACAACTGAACAACAATATATGGAAAAAGAATTAGGGTGGTTCTGCTTGGCCTCAGAGAACAGAACTGGAAAGAGCAGGGGCAAGTTTCAGAGGCAGAGTTAGCCCAGAGGCCAAAGAAGGCTTACTAATGATTGGAGCTCTCCCAAGTGTAATAAGCTGCCTTGCCGGAGGTCTTCATGTGGCAGCTGGAGGACCCCTCACTGATTGTGTTGTCCAGGAAATCCTTGGGTCGGGTCAGAGCTGGGCATGGGTGGCTATGGAGCTCTGAGGCTCTGTGACTTGGGGCAGCAGGGCTCCCAGGGACTGTTCCATCACCTAAACGTTTCACGGCCAGGACAATGGCATAACGCTTTGACTGGGGGGGGGAAGGGAAGCTCTGAGTCAGAGGGCAATGTTTCCTTGGACAAGTCGCGTTCCTTGTCATCTGCTGTTATCTTTCCTGGTGGGCAGGGCTGTCTTTTGCCTCTTTTTGTATCCCCAGCGCTTGGCACAATGCCTGGCTCACAGTAGGCACTTAATAAATGGTGATTGATGAACTTCCTAGGAGGCTCCATTTGTACGCTCCTCCTTGAGTGTGTTTTGAATTAATGGATTCACCCCACCTCCCTCCCAAGCTCATTTCTAAGTCATTGTCACTGCAGGGTTGGGGGAACTTCAGTCACTGCTTTCCCTCCTCCAGAACCCAGCTGCTTTACCCCAGCAGAACCAGGAGGTGAAGAGATGAGGAGTGAAGCCTGCTCCACATGGGATGGGCCGCCTCAAGAGGTGTTGGGGTCCCTCCTTGGAGGTCTTCCAGCAGAGGCTAGAGGACCATTGTCAAGTATGAGATAGTGATGACTTCTTGGTGCTTGGGTTGGACCTGAGGACTCTGAGGAGTCTCCCAGCCCTCCCATTCTGTGACTGGGCATCCCTGACTCACTGGCTTTCTGAGAGGCCTAAAGCAGAGACTCATTGTACGTGAGATTTGTTTCATGCTGTGGGGCACCCAGTGAGTGAAGCCATCTTGGGATGAGCTTCTCCTTTACTGCCATCCAGAAGATGCAGCTTCTAACAGTAGAAAGGCTCTGCCGTGTTTCTGAGACCCTCCTGGGGACATTGTCGTGGCTGTTTCTCCAAAACCCTGATCCAGAGTCGGAGAGTAAGAAGCCTCTTGAAATGAGGACTGGATGCCTTCAACAGCATGGATATCTTGTAGCACAGATACCTTTTGCTGCTACATTCACAGACGTTAGGAGTTAACTAGAGTGAGGAAGCCCAGGGCTGTCACTGGGGCTGCCATCCTGCCAGGGCTGCAGTCACGGCACTCAGCAGTGACCTAAAGGCCCACCTGGAGCCAGCTCGGACAACAGGAAACCACCCAAAGACCACATGAGGCACCCGGCAGAGAATAGAATGAGTTCCTGGGCATGGCTCCCACCTTTGCACCCAGGGAATGCCAAGGTCCAGGCCACAGAAGCCATGGGCACACCTGAATCACCCAAAGGACTGAGTGAGTGTGGATTTCATAGGCAGCAGCACCAAACTGCCTTGAGAGCATCCA